ATCTCCTCATGCCATGGCCCTGCTTATAAGAAAGTCATTCCATGCCATGGCCATAACTACTACCCTGCTCATGATGCAACACTCTGTGGGTGGCACTCTCTCTGCTGTGACTCCGGGTGAGCCTCTCTCTCTGTGTTGTGACTGTCTCTGCGCTGTGACTCTGTGAGTGGTGTTCTCTCTCTCTCTCTCTCTCTCTCTCTCTCTGGAGGGTTGACAGTAGAGATGTGTACAGTGAGGTTGTAGATGGGTGGCCCCCTAGCCCAATTTTACTGACTTTTTAAAAATGGCTCATATAGCATTTGAAGATTATTCAAATTAATTTAAAACTGAGGCATTTTCATAATAAATCCCATAGTGTCAGCTTTTCTTGAGAAATTGGGAGCTCTGGGCTAGAGATTGTAGCTGCCCCCGAGAAAGGGCCAAGCTGCTGGTCATGGCTCCTTCAGCTCAGGTCTTGGGGCCCTGGAAGGCACTGTCACTGGTTTAGAAGGTTCTAGATTTGGAACACCTTCCACTGGGTCGAGTGACTCTGGGGTTTACTGGCGTTTCCTTTTTCACCTGTCAGCTGTGTGTACCACGACTGTGGGGGAGAGGGTTTTTGGAACAACCACTTCCTGGTAATCCATGGACTTGGAAGGAAATCTCCCCAGCACCTTCTGTGATAATTTAAACCATTTCTCTCTCTTTCTCTCTTTTCCTAAAAATTATAATGTGTTTTTAAAATGTGATTTTATAAATTATTATTTTACAAGGGCCACATTGTCTGCATGATGCTTTACAGGGTCTATCTGGCCCCAGCTGGATCACTGCTGGGTGTTTTATGGCAAATTATTCTCAGATTACCTTTTAATGCAGGAAGGGCTGCCTGCTGTCTGAGCTCCCCGGGTCATACAGAAACCCCAGCCTTGATACAAAACAGCTGTCTGTGTTCCAAGGAGGAGGATTTCAAATGGAGACAGAAGGGAAAAGGTTTGCATAGCTGGTGGGGGCTTTGAAAAATGTTTAAGTTACTCTTTCCTTGCCATTAGAATGTGATTTAATTTTGTTACCAACAAATTGTGTAAATCTAAGAGCGAAGCACTGTGAAAAGAGTTTGTGAAGGGTGTTCTGGCAGTACTTACAGCATGTCCTGAAGGGCTGCTCCCCAGGGAGGCCAGCACAAAACTCCTGCTGACCTCCATGTCCCCGGGCCCAGTCCGGCTGGGCCAGGGTCAGGGGGGCAACTCACAGACCTCCCTCCCCTTTCTCCTCTAGGCCCCTGCTGAGACCAGCAACAAAAGGGCCAATTGTCTGAGGCATCCCCTTGTCCCAGAGGCTCCAGCAATCTTTCTGAAATGCCAAAGTGTATCCAGGCACATTGATGTGTATGTATGTATGCATGTATGTATGTATGTATGTTTCTATGTATATATATGTATATGAATGTAGGTACATGTGATGGTTCTTTCCCACATGTGTATGGAGCATCTGTGCAAACACATACATTCACACACATACACATTTGAGTAAGCATGCAGATGTGTGTGTGTGTATACATATATATATAGTGAGGATATATGTGAGTATATATACATGTGTGTACACATATATGAATGGATGTGTCCATCTGCATACTAATGCATTTGTGTGTGAACATGTGTATGTGCATGCATGTATGTGTGTGTGAGTGCATGAGAAACATGCAACTTGCTTAAAGAATTTCTGAGTCCTGGTGCATCTAAGCAGAGCCAGTAGCCCCAGAAGCTGGACTGGCCAATGGTGGCTCCTAAGGCTGAGGGAATAGAGCATCTGGCTTGCTTCTCAGCAGGTGGCACAGCTGCCTTTATGTGGTGTTCTCCCTGGTATGGAAAGCTTAGAGCTGTTTCTCTTCGCTTGCTTTCCCTGGAGGAAACCAGAGAGCAGGCATAAGTGTATCCTCGCGTAGCTTTTTGCCTACTTTGCTTCATTGGCCTGTTCAGACCTGGGCTTCCAGGCTAGAGCCTCTAGAGATTGTCTGCTCTCTTCCTGTCCCTTCCCAGGACTGCCTGATTGGAACCAGTACATTCTCTGTGTAGAACAACTATGATATGCCCCAGCCTCATCAACACTGAATTAGTCTCCACTGAGCCACAGGGCTCTTTCCTGTGTCCCATCATTTCGGTCCCTAACACAGATTGTTCATAGTGGTCTGTAGGGATCAGTGACCGAGCCAACCTTGGATATTTACCAGCCCTGTCTATTGAAGTATTCAGGGCTCAGATTTTCTTCTTTAATAAAATTGTTCTTCTGAAAATAACAATGAAACACATTAGACACTGACGCTGGGGAGAGAGAAGGGAAATGCTTGAATTCTCTGGTCTGCCTCTACAGTAGTTCTGCCCGGCCCCTTTCACCAGCACAACTGCCCTGGAGTAGCTTCTGGCTTTCTTTCCCTCCTTGTCCCTCCCTCCCTGTTTCTTCTGTGCTCCCAGCAAGGGCTTATCTTTCAACTGTGGAGCAGCCACCAATTAAACTTTACTCCAAAGCTTATCAAAATATTCAGCCAGTAAAATTATCTTATAATTAGCTGAACTGCAAGCCAGAAGTCTTTAACCACAGGAAATATAATGTGGCCCAGTGTGTGGAGTCTGTAAGTTGCTCATCCCCACCTTGGCTGCAGTTACGGCTTCTCGTTCTTTCCCCAGTTGTTCCCTCCTTGTTCTGTGTGCTCTTAATGGTCCCCGAGGCCTTAAAGAAAATACATGACAGGTTTAGCAGGGATAGATAATGGAGTAAATTCAGTTAAATGTAATATAAGATCAACCTGGCCTTTAATATTTAGTGCATACATATTTATATACTCTGTGTGCATGCATGTTCATGTATGTGTGCGTGCATATTTGCTGGGGGACGTGCATGTGTGTGGAGGCCAGGAGATAGGTGCTGTTCACCTGTTTGATCTATCTATCTATCTATCTATCTATCTATCTATCTATCTATCTATCTATCTCTATTTGACAGGGTCTTTTTCAGACCTGGAACTCACCATGTAGGCCTGGCAGACTGACCATAGAGTCCCAGAAATCTGCCTGCCTGCTTCTTCCTGATGTGAGGGTTACAAGGGCCTGCTACTGTATCCAGTTCTTTTAGTGTGGCTTTAAATGGGTTATTCAATCCAAGTCCTTCTGCTTGCAAGACAAGCTCTTTATCAACTGAACCATCTTCTTTGTCCCTGCATGCACTGTGTGTGTGTCTGCGTGTGTGTGTGTGTGTGTGTGTGTGTGTGTGTGTATGTATGTATGTAAACTTATGCCTACTTTCTTGGGTTTGCTGATGTTTTGCCATGATTGGGTCTGTATTTTGGATGACTACAGTATTGTTCTGAATTATTCTAGAGTGGTACTCTTCCAACAATATCCAGGATATTCTGCAACATGGCCAGCTGGATAGCAATTGGGCTTTCTTGCCTCAATTACTTCAGTTTGCTCTCTTTCTCCCTCTGTGTTCCTCACTCATTCTATAATCCCACGGCCTGGAGTCCCTCCTGCCATCTTGCACCAAATGTGGCATCATTGGCCATGTCATCTGTCACCCTCTCCCCATCTCTGTTGGGGGATAGCTAGGAAGCATGAATGGTATTTGGGGATCTTAAGATACAACTTAGGCTTTCAGACAGAAGCAATATTACAGGTGGTACTTAGATTCTTAGTTGCTGTGAGCTTTTTTAATGGCTAATGCCATGGCTGGGCATAAGAGGGCTCATGAGACTTCCATAGGTTCACTGGACATTGATTAGCATCTTTTTTATAATGAAGCACTTCCAAAGTTCTAAAAACAAATAAAAAATTAAGTTTTGGGATATACTAACATTTTCATAGATGAGCATCAACTATAGTAACTATAGTACTCATACAGTAGTTAATATTGGTAGCGTTTTCTGTGTTTGTCATGCATTTATACCGCTATAAACACAAATGTAGAAAACATTGTCATCCTAACATTATTCTTGAGAGGAAACCATGGTTCTGATCATTTTAAAACTAGGAAACTGGCGTTGAGAGCCTCAGTAACTTGCTGTTGCAGCTGAGCTCGACCTGCTAACCTGACTGTCTTGTCATTCACTGTTCCCTGTGTGTGAAATGGACAGGGCTCATGCCTTATGGTTTTGACCTTGTATGCTTGAGAGGTTTCCATGATACCGCTGCAGAATAAAGAGAACATCACAGCTTCATCTCAGCCTCCTGTTGCTGCTGCATTCAGCTGCCACATGTACCATTCCCTGAAGTTACATTTCCATTTGGGGCTTGATTTCTCTACAGTCTTTAGAATGCGACTTGACTGGCCTTGAGCTGATGAGATCAGCGTAAATGCTAAGCGAATCCCTAGGAAACCTCTGGCCCAGGTGTCTAATCCCTTGGTGGTCTGGAGTCTACATGATGCTCCTGTGGAAGGGGTGACGAGGGGACCCACCCTTGGCTTTGCTGTACCAATGCAAACCTTGGTAATGGCTGCATGTTGACACCCCATCCTTACACTGCTATCCCAGGAGCCCTAACCTACAAGTTGCTCCCAACTAAGGATGCTTTCTGTCTGATCCACGATGAAATACCCTTGGCTGTCTAAAGACCTTTTCAAAATATCATGATCCTTTAAAAGCAGAGTTGAAATCAAGGCGCTATCATTAGAAATGGCTGTGAAACAACAAGGCCCACGAGGAAATGTTTTAAGATTTACTTTTATTATGTGTATGAAGGTTTGTCTGTTTATATGTATGTGCATCATGTATGTGCCTACTGCCCACAGAGACCAGAAAAGGACAGCAAATGCCCTGTCACTGGAGCTTCAGCTGGTTGTGAGCCACCATGCTGGTGTTGGGACCTCTGCAAGAGCAGCCAGTGCTCCTAACCACTGAGCCGTCTTTCCAATCCCAGACATTAGGAAATGTTTAAAAATAATTGACCATATTGAGCTAATTTTCTTTGATTTCAGCATGTTCTTTATATTATTTAATTTGTGTTTTTTCTCTTTTTTCTTAATTGCAGCTTGGACTGACGATAGCCATCCGCTATAGCCACAGGTAAAGCTTTAAGATCTTTTTTAAAAAAAGAAATGGGCTTGTGGTTTAAAGGTTTTGGTTTTCTTAGGTCCTGAAGAATTTTGAGGTTTGTATTCTGTTTTGGTTTCTTTTTTGGTGGCTGTTTTTCCATAATGGGGACAGCACGTTTGCCATTGCTGTTTGGAGGAATGTGTGGTGGTAGCGGTGGAGGGACGGTTTTAGGTTATGCATATGTGTTGCAAGCTGGCCTCAACCTTTCAGTCCCGCCTCAGCCTCCCTGACACTGGGATCATAGGATCGCACCACGGTACTCAGTTCTGCCATTAGTATTGTTTACAGACAGTATCCCTGGTGGTTCAGCTTGGCTTGTCTTCTTACGATCCTCCTGCCTCTGCTTCCAAAGTGCTAAGATCACAAGTGTGACCCCTTTGCCCAACAACATTTTCTGAATGACATGAACTCGAGAAGCTCGATGGTAGGGCGCGGATGTGATTTGTGTGTAGCGCGTTGAGCCTGAGAATCAGAGTTGGGGGATTTTTACCTGTGAGGCCAGGCCAGGCATGTTTGTTGAGCTCTTTGCCCACCACGCCTCTCTCCTTCCTGCCTTCCTGCCTTCTGCAGAGGCAAAGGGCCTCGATTTTTGTCTTGCTTCCTGATTTCCACCCTGGTGCCAATCTCACCATGCCAACGAGGACAAAGCATTATTTTCTAGTGCCATCATTGTAGCCTTGTCTTGTAAATGTTCGTTTCTAGAATCGTTTCTCTTGTGTGTATGCACCAAGACATACTGTGCTACATGAATGAAAACAAGGGGTTGATGAGCAGTGCCTTCCTGTTCTCATGTGCGCTGTGTTCATTGCTTCCCCAAAGCGCCACCCTCAGATCAAAGACAGGCAGCTCTGGTTAGTCTGCTCATCTCTCAGCAAAGAACCTAAAGGAATATCGGGTGCCAGGACAAATTTTCATCCTGAAGATACTCGTTACAAGTTGTATGTTCAGTTTTGATCTAAGTGTGAGACTCAGACAGCTGCTGAGAGACAGAACAGGTATGAACATGACGAGGACAGGAGTGGACTTGAACTTCTTGGAGTTCATGTGTGAGAAGGAAGGTGTTTGGGGAGACATGTCTGGAGCAGGTGGACGAAGGCTGCCCCAGACAGGTTCATGGCCGTGCAGGGGGTAAAGCGATATCTTCCCCTTGTCTGTCACATAGGCTCATGACTGAGGTCGCATAACAAAAGGCAGCTAACGAGAGGCCGATGTACACATTCATTCAGTATATTTTACGCGAGTAGGAGGATTTATAAGGAAACAAAGACCTAAAGTGAAGAAACATGATTAGAAGAAACATAATTAGACAGGGGTATGAGGTAGAGCATTGGTTCTCAACCTGGGGTCCCTATCCCTTTTAGGGTTGCATATCAGATATCCTTTACATAAGATATTTATATTATGATTCATAACAGTAGCAGAATTATAGCTATGAAATAATTTATGGTTAGGGGGTCACCACAACATGAGGAACTGTACTAAAGGGTCGCAGCATTAGAACAGTTGAAAACCACTGCTCTAGCATGGATAAAATGATGGACCTTTTTTGCTCAGATCTTCTCTGTGCTCTGGTGTCTTCAGAGGTCACGATGCTCCTTTGGGAATTAGGAGGGTGCTCTAAAGAGTCTTGTGATCTGTTTTGGTGATCTTCTCTTCTGTGATCTTCTCATGCCAAAAGGCCATATTTTGGAGTAACAAGTCCCAAACCCTATCTTCCGCCTGTGTGTTTTCCGAGTCTGGTGTGTGCATGGTGTTTGGATGGTGTGCACACACACAGAAACACTGTCCTGAAGGAGTGTGCTGTCCCCTCATCAGCACAGCTGGGTTGTCATAGCTGATGAGATGCCTCTTGTCATGCCCTTAAGACACATTCACCCATCAGTGGACTCATGGGTTATGTCTACCTTTTAGTTACAAGGGATATTGATGTAATAAATACAGCACATGAATGTCTTGTCCTTTCTTCTACTCCTTTTGGACTTATATCAGGATTAGAGTCCTAATTGCATGGCAATTCTCGAGTTAATTGTTTTGAAGAGTGTTCATACCATTTCCTTGTCATTGCTACGTGAAATGGGGTTGTGTCAAGGCCACATAGTTCTGGCTCCTTCAGAAACTCACAGTTGGGATGGAGAATTTCATTGTTAGGTTTCAGCAGAACCCAGAGACTGGGGTGAGAGTTCCTGGGTCTTCTTTGTGTGGACGGGAAGACTCTGAGGGCAAGGTTTGGGTATTATCACCAGACCTTTTCAAAAATTCCCATAGAAAGCCAGTATGAGAGCGAGGAAGATGAGGGAAATCCCCATCGACCTCTGCAGTGAATGGAGATGGATTTGAAAATCAGGAAAAGGCAAATGTGGTTCCAGAGTGACAAATGAGGAGGAATGGTTTCTCCATAGAGCAACAGGTGGAGGCATCGTAAGGAGATGAGTGTGAGGAGGAAATGATGGAGTCAGGAAAATCACGTAACCTTGATGAGCAAGCATTTCTCAGGCTGTTGTGAACAGAGGTGGGGACAGAGCTCTTCCAGAACAAGAGGGGACCTTGCATGATAACTAAAGTGCTTGAGGCCGCAAAGCATCCAGGGGTGCTTCAGCTGTTCTATCTGTCCTATTAAAAAGAGAATGATGTTCAGGACGAAGAATATCCCCCACAGCATACAGACATGCATGTGTGCACACATTCACATTCATGCACATATGTGACTGTACATGTGCATGTACATACACACACACACATACACACACACACACACACACACACACACACACACACACACACCACCCACTTCTATTTCTGCACCCATTCCTGTATATCCATCATTCCAGACCTGTTTATGTAGCACAGGGGTGCATATGATATATGCAACCATATAGGGTTGGTGCTGAGGTGTGGGGAAGCAGAGGATAATGTAGCCATATTCGTAGCCATATTCGGATACTATAAATGTGCAAAGTAAGAAGAACACCTGCCATGACTGATGGACATTTAGCAACGGGTCTTGCTCACAGTCCATTTATTATCATGGTGCCTTAATTTATTTTTATAAAGTCAAGTCATTTTTGTACAGAGTGGAAAATTGTCTCTTTGATGCTTATTTCCCATTGTTTAGCTTGAGGTTTTGGGTGGAATCCACACAGTGTGACAACTGGGTAACCCCGAAAAGTGCCCTTTGCAGATAACAGCTCTTGGGGCCCCACCACCCACGCAGCGGGGAACAGTTTCCCCAGTGTGTGGGTGTTTCATTTTGTTCTTTCTCTGTAAGGTTGAAAGAATTGCACTCTTCCTCCTTTCTGATCCAGTGGGGCACCCTGAAGCAGCACGTTCCCTCGTGGTGGATACCCCGGGGCAACCGTGAAAGAGGAAAGGGGCAGAGAAATGGCACCTCACCTCTAGCTCTCCCCCTCTGACACGGGAGCACCCACGTGAGCCAACCGTGTGGCATTTTTGCACGAGCCTCTACACTCATGTTTCAAAAGCAGAAGATAACAGCAGGGAAGCAGCCTGCGATCGGATGATTTAGTTCGCTGCTTTTGCTGGTTTTCTTTCTTAACTAGATAAGAAAGGAAACAAAATTTCCATCTGATACAGGTACAGGAAAGTCCACAGGAACATGAGTTTTAGATAAAACTGAACAATGGTTCTTCTCCAAAACAGACTTTTATCTCCTGGCTTCCTATAGTCCCTAAGTAAGGCCAACTTAGCTGTTGTTGAGGTCAGTGTCACATCAAGACTTCGGGGTTATAGGTGACAATTCTTCCAAAGGGATTGGCATCTCCCAAGGTGTTCTGGATAGTTTTATGTCAACTTGAAACAGGCTAAAGTAATCTAAGAGGATGGAAACTCATTTAAGAAAATGTCTCCATAATATCCAGCTGTAGGAAATTTTCTTAACTGGTTATTGATGTGGGAGGGCCCAACTCATTGTGTGTTTATAGGTTCTATAAAAAATAACAGGCTGAGCCAGTCATGTTGAGCAGACCAGTGAGCAGCACCCCTCACCCTCCATGACCCCTGCTTCAGTTCCTGCCTCCAGGTTCCTGCCCTGTTTGAGTTCCTGTCCTGATTTGGTTATGGTGTTTCATCACAGCAGTAGTAGCCTTAACTAAGACACAAGGTTGTGGACCAGGGACGGGGAAGGCAGAACTAGAGGCCCTACATGTTAATCAGTCCCAGAGAGGTGAGGAGCGTCTGTGCCCAGTGTGGCCACCCTTAGATAACATGCAGACCTGTGGTTCAACAGGCACCCCAAGGCTGTTCTTACTTTTGTTTTGAATGACTTAGCAAGAAGTGAAGGGGTCATGGACTCTTGTGTGTGACTTGGATTAGAATCAGATTCTGAAGTTGGCAGATGGATCAGAAAGCTTATTGAATGGACAGGTGATACCAAGCCAGTAATGAAACTGTCATCTTGAAATACAAAAATAAAGAAAAGACAAGAAACAGGGTCATCAGGGCTATTGGGTTTTGATTTCAAGAGCTGGCAAATACCTAGTGACTCCCATTTGGAGCTGGTTTGGTCTTGTGGGGTCAGCTGGGGGAGAATGTAGTTCTCCAAATTTTGTAAAAATAAAAAAAATGCCTTTCTACCCTTTTTTTTCTATTTTCAAGAAATAGTTGTTTCTGTCACCAGGGTTCTGGCCAACTGCTTTATCTGTCTCTTTCTCAGACTTCACAGTAAGGCTTTGACCAGATTTATACACAAGACTTGCCAAGAATTATTCCTCTTTGATGGTAGAATCTTGAAAGTCAAGCTATCTTTAGAAGGTTACATTTTTTCATTACCTTCCTACAAAATATTATTCTCAAGGGTCAGAGTACAGATCTTCATGGAGTGTTCAGATCATGTGTTTTTACTTAGTGTTCCGAGGACTGTGGGCTCTGTTGTAGGTATTTCATGGCAGAACTCAGCACAGGCTTGGAGATGGGTCTAGAGAGTGGCAGATGCTCTTTAGGATCTACACCGTCTG